CATTCGTCTGCTGATGGGCATCTAGGTTGCTTCCATGTCCTGGCTATTAGAAACAGTGCTGTGATAAACACTGCGGTACACGTGTCTCTTTCAGATCTGGTTTCCTCAGTGTGTATGCCCAGAAGTGGGATTGCTGGGTCATATGGCAGTTCTATTTCCAGTTTTTTAAGAAATCTTCACACCATTCTCCAGAGCGGCTGTACTAGTTTGCATTCCCACCAACAGTGTAAGAGAGTTCCCTTTTCTCCACACCTTCTCCAGCATTTATTGTGTGGAGACTTTTGGATAGCAGCCATTCTGACTGGCGTATAATGGTACCTCACTGTGGTTTTGATTTGCATTTCTCTGATAACGACTGATGTTGAGCATCTTTTCGTGTTTGTTAGCCATCTGTATGTCTTCTTTGGAGAAATGTCTGTTTAGTTCTTTGGCCCATTTTTTGATGGGTCATTTATTTTTCTGGAATTGAGCTGCAGGAGTTGCTTGTATATTTTTGAGATGAATCCTTTGTCTGTTGCTTCGTTTGCTATTATTTTCTCCCATTCTGAGGGCTGTCTTTTCACCTTGCTTATAGTTTCCTTTGTTGTGCAAAAGCTTTTAAGTTTCATTAGGTCCCATTTGTTTATTTTTAGCTAAACAAAGAAGCTATAGACATACAAGACAAACTTTATAGGAACGATAACAGCTACTTCATTTCCAAAACCTGGAAATGCCCCTCAGCTGTTGAGTGGATAGACAAGCTGTAGTAATCCAAGCAATGGAATACTATTTTAACAATAAAAAGGAAGAAATTACTAATAGACACCATAGTAAATTAAATCAACTAAAGAAAAATGACAGAAATAAAAACAGGAAAAATAATATGGAAGAAAAAAGAAGGCAACATAACACGAAATGAACTCATGTCTTTAAAATGGAGAATCCTCTAAATAAATGTAACAAAAAGGACTTCAAATATACAGTAAGAATTTCCTTGAAGAAATAAGTCTGTATCTTCAGAAAACCCCACTATTTTCTAGAAGAATAAAATGTGATAAAAGATTTAAAGTCAGAAATATTTGATTAATTTTAAAGATAAATACAACTCTTCAGACACCCAGGCAGAAGAGACAGCTCAATTGTGTATGAGACGTGTTAAAAGGAAATGGCTACCAGGGCACATAAGACAGAACATAATCCACAGAAATATCTCAGATCCTGAAAGAAATGGGTGTTATTATTATACCAGTCCACCATGTTTCTCAAGAAAGCAAGAGGCATTTTTAAATATGAAAAAATTCAAGGATTTCAATAGCCATGAATTCTTTTTGAAGAAATCTATTAGATGACCAAATCTGATCAATTATGAGATGATACATAAAAAAAGAAACAAAACTGAGAGAAGCTATGGTTTAAAAAAAAAAAATGCTCAGAACTATGAATCCACTTAATAGCACAATAGTGGTTTTCCATCAGAATCACCGTTGAGAATAGTAAACCACAATGCTGGGATCCAGTCAGCATTTCCAATAAGTTTAATCCAGGATATACTTTAAGAATGACTGGTTTAGTTCTAAGGTTAAACAACTGAGGGAATTATGGTTAGAAAACAAAACAGTCATATAAAAAATAATACAAAGAAATTCTAGTTAAAATTGGCAAACTGAGTATATAAATTACTTTAGAAACACCAATAAAATGAAAAATAAAAGATTTTTAACCAAAGGAATAAAATTAAAAGGTAAAAAAACTGAATAATACTGAGTTAATAGGTCAGAAGGTTAAATTCTAAATCATCAAAGGAAAAAAGTTAAGCAATAAAATTTGTCAGGATCATCAAAACAGATCAGGAATAGGCGGTACCACATACCTTCATAAGAGAGGTTGAAGGCAGAGGTGAAAATAAAATTAGTTGAATTCATTTTTTTAAAGTGCAGTTAAGACCCTTAGATTTCATTTCATTTCTTATACTGGCCAATTGAAGAGGATAAGGCAGGATTTTTCAACTATAGCAATATTGACATCTGGGACCAAATAAGTCTCTGCTGTTGAGGGCTATCCTGCGTATTGTAAAACATTTAGCAGTATTCCTGGCTTCTACCCACTTGACGCTATTAGCACCTTATCCCAAGTTGTGACAATGAAAAACATCTGCAGGTATTGTCCAATGTTCCCTGGGGCACAGCTGAGAACCACTGCTCTAGAAACATCTCTTGAGATAACTCTTTCAGAACCTCTCCTGATGAAGAAGTGTTTAACATTCAGCAATTCCTTTACTTTTACATTCTTCTGTTAAATTCAGAAAAAATTAATCCTGTTTAAAAATATATGTTCAGCATGCTACCACTTCTTAAAAAGGTATTTCTGTTTATTCATCTATGTGTATGCATGCATTGACAGAGAAGAAATGTGGTGGGATTTTGCTGGTGACATTTACATTTTGAACTCTGCATGGCTTGGCTATTTATATAAACTATGAATCATTTCTACAAAATCAAGTCATTGTACTAAAAAATAAAAATCTAGCAAGAGACTGCACAAAACTAGCAGTCAGGAATCACAAGACTGCACAAAACTAGCAGTCAGGAATCACAGGAATCTTCTCAATTACTTAACATCTTGGGCAAAAAATGATAGTTATTGTGTACAAAATACAGTGATTAAAAAAGTCAACGCTACTCACTAGCATCATTTTAAGACTGGGGTGGGGAAAGCACTTAAGTAAGCATCAACTGCTGGTGATGCTGTAGTTAGAGGATTAGGTGGCAGTCCACCTATGTTTATAAAAATGCTTAATCACCACTCAGATAGATAGCCATGCTTGAACCAAGGATTATGATCAATCTAATTCTAGACCACTAAATAGCAAATACACAAAACAAAAAACCCCACAAAATGAAATTTAAAAAACTACCACTCCAAACTCTGTGATACACAGTAGTACCACAAGTAATTTTTTTACACTTTTTCCATAGTTCAGATATTTTCTACTGTTTTCCAAAACAAACAAAAAAACCTTTGTAAAAATTGATTAAGTCTAAAGAAACCTGAGCAAAGAAAAGAATGAGGTTCATTTTCATTCTGGCTTAACTGATCTAAGTTAACGACCTGAATACTTTTGCATATCTGACTAAATTTCAATGTGTCAAAACCTCTAAGTAAATGAGCATATTGACTGTTAAGACCATGGAAGAAAGGGATTTGTAAAATACAAAGCATATTCTCTTTTAATCGCTATTGAACTGCACTAAAACTGAACAATTCAGAAATAATGAGAGACACCAGGAAACAAAGGGGAAAAAATAACCAGAACTGCCTAGAACCACCTAGCCTCTCTAAGCACCAGAGACCTAATTACTGGAAGGTAAGAAAGTGTCTCCTTGTTACCATCTTTCCAATGCACCTTCATATTAACAGTAACTATAAAAGCTGTGTCTGTAGAAGTGTGACTAAGGAGAAGAACTAAGTTGTAAAAATTTTAATAGGAATGTAATTTTTCCCACACTGTTCACTAAAACGATTTAAAACACGTTTTTATTAATCCGCCAAATCTTTTTTTAACCATAATCATCCTTGAGGCAAAAAAGACTGATCATCACAGGTCTAGAAATTGAAAACAAAATGGAAAATGTGTATCCCTCCTTTTAAATCTCTACTATATAAAGAACATGCCCATTTGCTAACTGGACAAAATCAGACTTTACAAATAGAATTACACAACATCTCACCTCCCTCAATTAAAACAATTCTATACTAATCATTTTGCAAAATATTAAGTTTATTACCCTAATTATGCCTCTTATAAGATACTTAATTATTTCAAGTAGATTCTCTACTTTCTTACTGAGATAAAAATATACCAGCTTTGAAAGAAAGAAAAATATACCAGTTTTCCACGTCCAGCTACAAGAAAAAAAAACTGCGTGTGTGTGTGGGTAAAATCAAGACAGTGACCTGGGTTGGAGTAACCTCTATGTAGTATTTTACTAAAATTTAACATTTACAGTTCAAGCTACATTGAAAACTTTTTAAAAAGAGATATGCAAAAACAACAGAAATGCTACCTAATGTATATAATGGAGTCATCTGGGCAGTCAGACAAGCAACTGTTAGAAACAGAATTTAGAAATCATGGGTTAAAGAACTAAGATTTGAACCCAAATATCTCGCCCCATATTACAAATACCTTTATTAACTGTAAAATCAATTTTTGTCTATTGGGGGGCGGGGGGGTGTTTGTATCAAATTCAGATTTATTTGTACCACCCGAATCAAAAAATCCTGCCACTATAATGAAGAATGGTTTCACTGTAACAACGCTATCTAATCAAAATGCAACGTACACCAAATTAAAAGTGAGGTATCGTTACACAAGCATCTTTCTGTCAAAAAACAGGTATCTGATACCACAGAACTGACCAGCTCATTTTCTCATATCATTAAGCTCGAGGACTCACTCCCAGAGTTGGGGCTGTTTAAAAAGCATATAACTGTATCAGTATTACTGCCGAGCTGCCCCACATATCCGTCATTTAACTGCAGTCTGCGCGACAGAACAAAGAGGCCTCCGGGAATGGCAGTGCTGCAGTCTGAGGTCGCTGGGAGGAGATGACGAGAAGATGGGGTACTCCACAAAACGAAGCGGCCTAAGACCTTTGTAGGAAGAGCCCAGGCAGACATAAGACATAAAGCACAAAAAGGAACCTGGAAGAATAGGGAACAGCCTTCATGAAAAGCGGGTGGGGGAGGAAAAACTACTAGCTCTCAGCTTGGAATCTCCCATCCGGGTCATTCACTCATGTTCACTGCTCCTCGTGGCTACCCGGGTCGGCTCTTCTAAAGGCTCAGAGCCGCGAAGCTGTGTCGGAGTGGCCAAGAGAGATAAGGAGAAAACGGGAAAGAAAGGCCTCCCTGTTGGGTGGGGTAACACGGTCCCGCCGGGCCTCACCCAGGCCTGCTCGGGGGCTTTTCTCTTTCATCTCTCACGCTAGCACTCCTCAGGCCGCTAACAACCAACTTACCCAGCTCGCCATGGAGCACAGCCCCAAGACGCTCCCCATCTCCACAACGTCGCAGGAATAGCGTATGCCAACAAAATGGAGACAGCAACTCCCCTCGCCTTTCCCAGCTTATTTACTAACTACAACCCACTTCCGGCGCAGAGCCCACCCCGCCCCTCAGCTTGCGTCACTTCCTTCGCGGCCTGGGCCGGGAGGGGGAGGGCGTCGTGCTGGGTTGCGCACGCGCGGCCCTGGGTTCTAATCCTCTGTCGTTCGGCGAAAGCGCTTCTAATTCAGGTGGCAAAAAACGTCTTGTTTTTCCACTTTCGCATCTTTTCCCCCCAACTTACGTTCTGAATTTATTCTTGAAGCCCACTTATTCCTACTCATTTGCGTGCTTCCAATTCTATCACTGTTTGCGGCTGTAACATTTTAATTTCTTGTCCTGTTAAGATGTTACAAGAAGTTTGCACATTTAAAATTTGTAAATTAGTTAAGACTTACAGATAACAACGCAAACATGTTATTGATTGTATTGAATATCACGAGCTGTTGAGGAGACATTTATCACCCAATAAGCTATAAACATCTTTAAAATTATTTTGACCTACAAAAAAGGTAAAGTGAAAAACGTTACAATCGTGAACTTTCCTGTCTTCAAGAAATAACATTCCAAACCATTGCTCCCGATTGCCTCGCTCCTCACCCTCCACCAAAAGATGGTCATAATGAATGAATGTCAGAGACGAACCAGCAATCTGTGCTACAATGTCTTCAATTTACTGACTTGCAAATTGCTTTTCAAAGTGGTTTTAGCCAATGTAAACTTTCTCCAGCAGTGAGAATTGTGTGTCACATTTTTATCAGCACCAGGGTTACTCACACTCTAATTTAACAAATAAAAGAGAAGTGAAATGTCTCATTATACTATCAATCTGCATTTCCCTGATAACTAGTAAGGTTGAGAACTTTCTATTGACTATTAGGACATTCTCTTCTGAATAAAATGCCTTTTCAAGTATTTTGCCCATTCATCAATTGGGTTATTGATGAATAGACTATTTTTAGATACAAATTCTTTGTTTTGTGTGGAGCAATTACATCCCCCAATCTGGACTTCCTTTTTCTTTTTGTGATATCTTTTGAAGATTTGGCAACCCACTCCCAATATTCCTGCCTGGAAAATGCTATGGACAGAGGAGCCTGGCAGGCTATTTTTGGATACAAATTCTTTGTTTTGTGTGGAGCAATTACATCCCCCAATCTGGACTTCCTTTTTCTTTTTGTGATATCTTTTGAAGATTTGGCAACCCACTCCCAATATTCCTGCCTGGAAAATGCTATGGACAGAGGAGCCTGGCAGGCTACAGTCCATGCTGTTTCAAAGAGTCGAACACGAGTAACACTTTTTGACAACACCTTAGCATGTTTTAAAATTTGTTATAACATAATCAAATTTAACAAACTTGATCCTAAAGTTACATGATTTTGTTGTTTAGAACTCCTCACTAGTATCAAGATTTTAAAGACATTTTCCCCCGTATATTTTCTTCTAGTTTTAAAGTTTTGCTCTTAAATGCTTAGGTTTTTAATCCACTTAAAGAACTGATTTTGGTGTATGGTAGGAGGTGAAATCTAATCAGTGATATGATGGTAAACTGGCTCTCTGGGGGAAAAATAGCCCTGATACATAGCATTTGCAGATTTCTGTTATAAATACTCCCACTGTGACAATTCCCATCTATCAGTGTTTAAAGAAGACACTTGTGAAATTCTTGACCATTTAGGAATGGTTTGATCTCGTGCCAACATACCACCAGGTCCGACTCTATTCGATAACCAATTGTCCTAGTATAAATTAGAGAATAATAATCCTTTCTCTCTCATCTGTAATATCATTGCTGTCATACATCAATTCCCATACACATGTTTCTGAACTTTATGGATTGGGTTGTCTATACATAGTTTACTAACACGTAAGATTTAATTATAGTTGTGTCTCTAATAAATAGTTTTAATTATGGTTGCTTTAAAATAAATCTTGATATCTGGAAGGTTTCTATACCTTATTCTTCATACTTGTTTTGGCTGTTCTTGATCCTCTTCTTTTCTCTACACATTTTAGTCACGTTTTCGAGTTTGGATGATAAGTCATATAGTCTCAGGAGTCATTAGAGTGATTGTTGCTGTTCCGTCGCTCAGTTGTGTCCAGCTCTTTGCGACCCCGTGAACCCCATAAAAGTTGGGTGTATAATGAATTTGACTATAAGTTTCTTAGTGGTTAGAGAGTTTCTCAGTGAGACAGTATTAGCATTCTAGATTGCAAAGCACTTTATTATGTAAGATTAAGCTTTGTGAGACTGATTTGTTAGTGTTATTAACCCCCACTTACTGTGAGAATTATCCCCTCCTCCTAATTGTTTTGATACCCTCTAAGGAACAATATACCCATTGGTTGTGAATCAATAGCAAAGTAAATAATTATTAGCTATAATTAACAAATTGTCTACTTGCCGACTGTGAGAAAGTTAAAAAGATGGCTTTTTAAGATTTGTATTCAAACACTATCCAATACATGTTGTCAAAACAAACCAGCAATTCAGGAGGAGCGGTTTCCCTAGGCTACTTTTTATAGCACGTCAAAGTCATAATGCCAAAGCACAAATTACTTACAAAGGAAGTAAATTAGGAGTTTTAAAAGATGCTAATTGCTTAGTTCTCTAATGGCGTGACCTAATTCAGGAGTTGAATTTAAAATATCTAAAGTGGGCAATTTTCAAAAATATTAGAATAATAATTTTTGAGATGGTAATAGGTAGCCACTGTCAAAAAGATTTCAAGTAAGTTTGGGTGGTACTGCACACTATATTCTTGTGATTAATGTTGCACATTAACATTGGAAACTTATTTTACTTTTAAAAACCTTTTCTCCCCTCATGAAACATGTATTAATATCTATCATGAAGAATGGACTGCCTAGCCTCCTGGCCATCCGCCTAAAATATAGTTTTCCATAATTGAGCTTTTTGATCATTAGATCAAAAGACTAGATCTTTCTGAGCACTAGAGAGCTCAAGGTTATATTCCTTGTCAAGAATGTGAGCAGGCTCTATGTTGCCAATTAAGGACAAGATATAAATTTTGGCATTAAAACAAATGGAATTGAAAATTAATAGTCTCCTGTATTAATAATAAGAACAAGACACTGGTCAGAACAGACATGGACAAGAAGTGGGCTGAGAGAATTCTGGAATACTACAGTCAGGGTTAAGGTTTTCCTCAAGAAACATTCTGGGTTCATTATCACATATGGATGAACAAAGAATCAAAGCTACCAAGTAGAGGAAGATTGTGATAATTGTAACCTGAGAAAAATGGAAAGCAGGGTTACCAAGGTTATCCTGGTAATAGTAAAAGTTTCAATAATACATTAATAAAAATCAACTTACGCCAATGTAATACCCAGGATGAACTTGGCACAAAATTTACCCTAATGTAACCAAATAAGTAAGTTACTCTGAAATATAGACCTATTGACTATCAGTTATTAAGTATTATGAGAAGATCTACCCAAGTAATAATTTTGCTTTCAGAACATACCTTCATGGGAATAAAACCATATCTTCAGTGTAAAAGAAAATACTTAGTTTTATGTTTTCTATGGCAATCTATGCCTAGTTTCAAGTCAGAAAAGGATCAAAATACATCTTTGCTCCTTAATATTCTGGGAATTACTATCTGATATGTAAGGAGACCATTTTTATTATCCCTAATTCTCAGATTATATTAAAATACAAGTTTAAGAAAAACAAGAGTAGGCCGTGCTTCAGATTAAATTCATACAGCATAGTCCATGACTGATTTTTTTTCTCCAGAATAAGTGTAAATAATGATGTAAATGCGTGCTAAGTCGCTTCAGTCATGTCCGACTCTTTATGACCCTATGGATTGTAGCCTGCCAGACTCCTCTGTCCATGGATTTCCCAGGCAAGAATACTGGAGTAGATTACCATGCCCTCCTCCAGAGGATCTTCCCAACTCAGGGATCAAACCCATATCTCTTAAGTCTCCTGCATTGGCAGGCGGGTTCTTTGCCACTAATGCCACGGGTGAATAATGACAGATCTTTTTAAAAATTAGTTATGGATGCCTTGTAGTCACACACCACTCTTTCTTGAGGGTTCGTTATTACAGTGATGTGGAACTGACATTCTGGGTTTCCTGGCATTGTACCTTTTGGAACTACCCCGCACTAACTCCTGGGCTGCTACAGTTCTTGATCCCTAAAAAGTAGCACTGTTGAAACTCTTAAGAGGTTGAGATTTTCCCTTTCTTACCATCTCTGCAAAACATAGACTGTGAAGCAATTGGCTCAGGATCTCATTCAGGGACTGGCAATTTTAGGAAGCATATGGAATGTACAGAGTTCCAGTTGCAGATTATCAGTAATGACCTAAAGGACAATTTCCACTGTTATCTTGGCTGATTGCTGCTTCCACGATCCACTCATGGTCCACTGTTTTAGTGGTCGTCCACAGACAATTCTTCCCCCACTAATTTTTGCTGGAGATGCCCATGTCCAGAAACCAGCAGTCCATAGCCTTCTGCCCTCTCCTGTCATTCCTCACCTATACCCACAAGGATATAATATGGTATCTTGCACATCACTTTAAAAGTTCCCAGTTTAACCTGGGATGAGTGTCCCTCTGCCAAGGTTAACTGAAGTCAGACTTATGTTTGGTCCCAAGGTTTTCCTGCCTTTGTACAAATTTCTGCATAAACTTTAAAGGTAATTTCTTATGGGCTATAGCTATGGAACACTGCAAATAGAACAGATTTTAAAAGGAAAATAATCGGGTTATATTTCACTGTAAATTATGGATTATGCTATTTAGTTCCCCTGTCCTCAGTAGACCAACACTGAAACTATTGATGGCTAAACATCTTGGACACTTGAAATAAATTGTCTTAAAGGATGAATAAAATTTTACATCTAGAAGGAGAGAAAAGGTTTATAAAGTATTTTATGGTTGTAATTCTAAATGTAAACAGGTTTAAAT